CGTCGGAGTACTTGTCGTGATTCAGATGCGTTTACCATGTCCTCGACGAGCTGTGATTATATTTATGATTAAATTCAATTGTAAACGTCTATTAGGTCCAGGGAGTAACTCACCTGCTTATTTAGGAGTATTTCATGCTTCAAAGGGTTAAAAGTCCCACTCCAAACGTCGCGATGGTGGCAGGCAGGGTTTGCGGGGTCTGTCATGTTTCCATCAATAATAATCAATGGTGTCTGCATATACATTATGTCTACAAATCTGTCGATGGAGTTAGCTATTCCTGCATCTGAGATACCGAGGAACTGCTGTAGATGACTTGGTAAGTTTTCATCAAAGGCGCGAGTAATCCTGGTCATGGCCGCCCTTGCGGTTCGTGAAGAAAGGAGACCAAGAGTTATATCTAGTGCTAAAGCGACATAGATGTATTGCTCTGTGTCACAGTTCTGTCGGACTAGTCTCTGAGAACCTCGAGCCCGTTTTAGTATTCGATGCCTGGGTAGGGAGAGCATGTTTGATAATATGTAGGTAGAAAAATGAATGCAAATGGCAAATTCGCAAAGAGCTTAGAAGGCTAGTAAAAGACAGTGGTTCGTATGTAGCAGTTTTAATGATGCGATAGCGGAGGTGTAGTTGTAATCAGGAAGAAGATCGTGAGGAAAAAGGTATTCAGCAACCCTTTTTATACAATCTAGAAATATTAGAATTTCCCGATATGGACAGTTCATGTCACCAAGAAGGACATTTTTCCAGCTACTCGGTGATATGAGTAGCTCTGCTCTGCATATTGTTACAGAGAATGCCATCGACTGTCAATTGTGAATATATGCTGTTTGATTGAAGTATGCCACTTGACTATAACCATGCAAATATAGCTGGCAAACAGTTTAGACAGACTCTGAACTCGCTCCACAGGAGCACAAATCCCAGATATACAAAAGCTATGTATATCTTGTGCGGCGGAGTCAATCTCACCCAGTCCCTGGTGGAAGAGTGATTCATCTGTGGCATTGATGAAGTGCGTGCAGTCAGAAACGACAAAGCAAAGTTCAAAAAGAGGCATGTGTTAAAATTATTGTAGGCTTATTTAAAAATGACCATCCCTCCATGACCATTTACGGCCCATCAAGCATTTGCCAATCTTGCACGAAATGGAGGATGTTGGTTTGTCGTCTCCTGAAATCCCAGCCGGGACATTAATTTATATCACGTGAAATTGAATTGTCTTGGCACTGGCTCCACCCCTAATAACATCACAGATATCAAATAGAATTAATGTATTCTACATAAACGCATCAAAAAGCCTTCTTTTTTGAACCTTACTACCACAATAGCACGCCTAGGCCAACCCCGATTCCTCGAACAAAAAAAAGGGGCTTTCATGCTCAATACATTACGTCTCAGCTCGATCAAACTTATTGAGAAACTCCGTCGGTACGGTGGGTATATACTTCCTCTCCCTCTCTCGATTCACACCTCCAAACCCAGCACCATAGCTCACAAGCATATCTGTACTTGTCGGTAGTGAAAAGGGGAGAGTGCTCGTTGGGTTTAAGAGAATCGTTCCAGGGTCTGGTCTCAGCGAAGACACTGAAGAAGGTCGCGGCGGTGACGAGGGTGAAGGAGATTGGGGGATGTTAGCTGATGAGTTATTATTATTTATTGCATGTGGTGATGATGGTTCAGCTGTGGAGTCTCCATCAGTGGAGGTGGATTTGGGAATTTTGTCGACGGAGGGATGGGTTGTTGTGGTTGTCTGTGGGGTAGATCCATCTTTTGAATCTGAGGCGAGAGGAAGGGGAAGAAGACCTTTTTCTTTCTGTTGTAGTATCAGAGATTGCGGCTGGTGGATCTGATCGAGGAGGGATGGGTCCTTTTGTAAGGCGAGGAGATATTTCATTGCGGCCTTTGGGAGACCCCGTTCGCCAACCTCGGGCCGGTAGAGCTTCACGGCATGCAGGAGTTGACTCGGAGTAAGTTGTTGAAGTTGTTGAAGAGTCATGATGAGAGAGTCAGGGTCATCGCCCAGCGAGGAGAAACACTGGAGCCACTGGAGTAGTTGGATGACAGGAGCTAGGTATTTTCGAGCAGAATCAACAGTGGTGTCTCCAGTGCATGATGTCGAGCCGTTCTCGTAGTGCTCTGGTTGTCGATTGTTGTTACGTGCCCAATCTTCTAGCGCAGAAACGTTCATCCGAATTTGCATAGCTTTCGTTCGAGCCAGATATCGTCTTGTTGTCATAATGCGATTGAAAAGTTCCGCTCCTAACCAGTATAAAAGCTGGGCCAAAATCTGTGCTGTAATGATAGAATGCACGTCGTATAAATCTAAGACAAATAACGTTGACGAAAGTAAAGAGGTAATATTCCGTGGCGACACCTGTGCCCTCCGTTTCGGCGACGGAGGTCGAAGGGTCTTTTCTAGTGGCTCTGGTTTTACCTTCGTTTTCGTGCGGAAGAGTTTCCATTCGTTCTGGAAATGAACATCTTCAAACCCGGGGATGGTTTCATGGTCCAGCATGGCTGTATCCAGAACTTTGTCCATCCGCCTCTCTGCATCCCGGATGATAAGGATAAAGATTTCGTGTATTAGTTCAGCAAGATGACGCTGAAATCCCACTGTAGCTTCAACCAGGCCGCCATCTTTCTTTAGGTAATGTAGGAGAAGGGTTGCATTCGATATCCAAAAGGCCAAAATCGTCATATCCCATTGATGTTTTTCCACCACCTCGTTGATCCGCTCCATTGCAGAAATTAGTAATTTGGCTAGCAGCTCAGGGCTCGCATGGTAATGGGCGTATCGAGCGCTGAGAAAAAGAAGGTTGGCTGGGACAGGCTTCTGCGACGGAGACCGCTGAGGCGTCATGTTTGAAATAATAATGTCCAAAATCCTTTCAAGTTCATTCTCTTGGAAAACAAACATCTGATCATTAAGGCACCTGTCCCATACGAATTCCTGTTGATCTTCAAAATCCTCTGGTAACTATATTATTAAAGGCACGGAAGAGTCAGTAATATTTACCCATCTTCACACCAAAAGACTACACTCCCAAAACATACCTCGAGCTTCTCGTCAAGCCCTAAACTCGACAAGTCAACTTCCAAATTAATGGCACTCTCCTCCATCATCATTCGCCTCTTCATTTCATTCTCAGCCATTTCCTCCTCGAATCTATTATGCGAAAACCCAAATTCATAGAAGTCGCCCGCAGTCGCGGATGCGCCAAAACTATACCCATTCTCTTGTAGGTATTTCGAGATGTCCGTCCCCGGCTGTACAAAGTCAAACGCCGTCCCACCGGAAGATGATTTGATATCCGGCGATGCGCCATAATCGAGGAGAATTTTCGCAATGGTCTTATGTCGGTTCGTCATCGCCCACATGAGCGCGCTCCACCGATTACGGTCTTGCTTGTCGACATCCGCACCCGCCTCGAGTAGTGCAGAAACCACTTCTTGATGTCCCTGTTATTATTTAAAGAAAAGAAAAGGATTCCCTTCGTCAGCCTCAGAATATCAACACTATTTGGGTCGAAACTAGAAGTTTTCGAATTCGTTTCATTGCCCTCCGAACGAAATCAACAAGGAACCGTTATCACGTACGAAACAGCTCGCATATATCAGGGGCACCGTCCCCTCCTCGTCGGGAGTATTGACATCCACATATTGTCTCGCTTTCCCCTTTACAAGCCTTCGCACCCGTTCCACGTCGCCATTGCTGGCGGCCATATTCAAGCTCTTTTGTAACACATCCCGCTTTTCTTCGTCCGACATTTTATCGTCCGTGGCGATATCGTCCTCATCTACACCGACCGATTCCACTTCCCTGTGTGCTGCCTGCGCTGCCAACATCTCCATCAACCTGGCATCGGAATCTTTCAATTCCCCCGTCGTCGTTGAGTCGGCATCAAGGTAGTGGTTGTGGGTATACCGGGCGTGGATGTTGTACTCTTCGTCATGGCTTCCATCATCGAGCGCGAGGTTAAAGGATAGCGGCTTTGCGGGAATGGGGTTTGTGAGGAAATGGGATTGACCTGACAGAGAACTCGGCATGTCTGGTTAGTAATTTTCATCCAGGTAGATAAAAAGGCACAGAAGAAAACCTAGCGTCGTAGGCACCCTGCAGTCCTCAATCCAAATCGGCAAAGAAGAATACAAAAGCCACCAGTACATATCAAACCCCAGATCCAGGGAGGGAAAGTATCAAAATCTCCCTTTCCATTCCTAGAGCAAACTAGGGACTAAAAAATGAAACTATCAAGCAACCCTCACCTTGCCACGCATCATATATCTCCGTTTCGGTCCCAAAAACCGGCGCAGACCGTCTATCGTCCAGCGACGTAGGTAAGTCATCAGGCAGCTGTCTCGGTTTGGGCGCGATATCACCACCTTCCTCTCCACCGTTATCATAATCACCGCTGCCCGCAACGCCGATGCTCTTGTTGTTCAAACCGAGCTGCTCCTCCCCCGGCCGGGGCTCCCCGGCGTCCATTATTGTGATTTATTCCTATCGTACGATATAAGGCAAACTGCTAGCGATACTTTGGGCAATTATGAGATCATTCAATTAGTCAATTAGACTCCCAGTGGGATAATAGAGGCAAGCCCACGCTGGCTGGTTTGGGGCCATGGGGCCGCTAGGAATCGGAATGAGGGGAAGCGGAACGGTGAGTGGAGTTGGGTGAAATTGATTTAATTAATTGCTGAGCAAGGAGAAAGGAGAGCACAGGTAAATGGGCTTCCTTCTCCCGCTGCCTATATATTATTTACGTTTCGGTGGAGAGAGAAGGCCAGTTGGGAAATCGATATCATGATTCAATGAAGTTGAGATAGTTTGGGCGAGGGGTGTAGCCCTTTTGGCCACAGATGGCGGGGCTCCACAATGCCAAAACTTCCCACTCCCATATACGTTAAATTAGATTTCATGCCTAAAGTATTGTGGCGGACATATTGCTTGCGAAAACAGAATTTTCCCAGCACCCCCTGAAAATTAGTAGCAAAACACCACAAAGAAATCAAAATATCCATGTTTCTCTAGAATCATTCAATTATCATCCAATACGCGTCTTTTTCAATCAAATATCATCCAAATACGCGTCTTTCTTACCTTTATCGTCAAATCCACATATATCAATCAACTCTTTTTTCAATATGCCTCGCAACGCCCGCTGTCCTGCTGCTTCACAAGCCTGTACAAAGACTCCTACTCTGCACCTCAGTCTCCCCACACTACCTGTTCCAGAAGTTCCAGTGGATAATGGAGAGGATCTGGTCAATGATGAGATGAAAGAGCAGGTGGATGAGAAGGATATAGAGACTCAGCTTGAGAATTCTATATCTGTGAATTCCTATCTCTGAACCATCTCATACAGATTGTATGAACAGGTGATTATCAATGAGATAAAGAACAAGAGAGATGATAAAATGATTAATGAGTAGAAAGAAGAAGAAGAATCAGAAGAATGAATCTACAACTTCTACAATCAATTCTTTTATATAGATCTCTCAAATGTCAGTGATTATATTCCCTTCTTCAGCTCTGGCAGCTTCAACTTCATTCAATATAGCATTCCCAAGTGAGATAATCAATGTGATGATGATGAAATATATGATGGAAGGAATAGAAGAACTGAATTCACAATCTCATTATCATCCACATCCAGATCTGCTGTTGAAATCTTCCATCAAATCCGCCGTTGAAATCTTCCATCAAATTCACTGTTCAATCTTCCATCGAATCCACTGTTGAAATCTTTCATCGAATCCGCCGTTGAAATCTTCCATCAAATCCACCGTTCAATCTTCCATTGAATTCACTGTTGAAATGTTCCATCGAATCCGCCGTTGAAATCTTCCATCAAATGCACCGTTCAATCTTCCATTGAATTCACTGTTGAAATCTTCCATCGAATCCGCCGTTGAAATCTTCCATCGATCGAATCCACCGTTCAATCTTCCATCGAATCCACTATTGAAATCTTCCATCGAATCGACTGTTGAAATCTTCCATCGAATCCACCGTTGAATCTTCCATCGAATCCACTGTTTCAATGAAATCTTCCATCGAACCCGCCGTTGAAATCTTTCATTGAATCCATCTCCAATTGAAAGCAGTTCAATACCTCAATTTGATGAATACTTCAATTGATTGACAAGGGAACAGTTGCTTGATATGAATATTGACAAGAGTATATTTCAAATTATAAGAGATGGGTTAAAAAGTTCATTATGACAGATCAAATTGCAGAAATTCAAATCATCTCTATCAACTGCTCATAGTGATGAGAGTAGATCTCATACTGCTTCCATCTCTAAATCTGTATTATAATTGAATGAATTGCAATCTGAATCTTTCTAGTTATTACAATACTATTCTATATGAGCAGATCTGAAATATTCTTTTATATCTTTTTCTCTCATAAAGTGCTTAACTGCATGATGTAAGAAAGCTTCAAAATCTCTATATCTTCTAATTCATTTCTTCAACGCGTGAAAAGACTTCTCTATAGAATTATAGTCAGGTGAATATAATAATAAGAATAATAGTTCAACATCTGTATCTCTGCAAAGATTCTTCAATTCTTGAGATCAATGAGTATTACAATTACTCATCACTAAGTAGTGATATTATGATGAATATATTACTTATGAAAACAGAATTTTCTCAGCTCTCTCTGAAAATTAGTAGTAAAACATTATTAAAAAATCAAAATATCTGCATTTCTCTAGAATCATTCAATATTATTCAATACATGTCTTTTTTAATTAAATATTATTTAAATATGTATCTTTCTATAAGAGGTCTACGCTGAATAGATCAGTATTATTATTATTATTATTCTTCAATTATAGATGTATGCAGTCAGAGACTATGACATCTATCTGAGAACTTTTAGTTCTCAGGGTTTTTTCTATATCTGTAAAGTTAACTATTATACATTCATCAATTTCAGATATGCAAAATCAGAAAATTCCAGCTTAGAATATAAAAACTGTTTATAAATTACAGTGTTTTAACATCTTCTGATACTTTGAAATCATTTGACAATATCATGATAAAGGAAAAGAGAACACAGTCTTAAAGATAGACACATTAGATAGATAGATAGAAAGAAATTGAAAGAAAAAGATAAAGTAAAGAGAGACTGTAACAAAATAAATTATTAAAAGATAGTATATAGCTGTTTTAACAGACTATATCTGACTGATTTCCTTCTTTTCATATTCAGATAATTCTGAATTTAGTCATTTTCTTGCAGCTGCTTGAGTTTCTGATAGAAAGTCTATTAAGTATTTAATTCCTGTCTCAGTTGAGAATAAGAATCTCATATTTAATTAATTTAGATTATACTTCTCTTTCAATCTGACTCTGAGACTATTATATAATGTACAGTGTATTACAATATACTCAGAATTCTCATTTACATTGTAGAATGAGTATTCTATTGAGTTAAATCTATCATCAAATCTTTGTATATAGGATTTGAAATAGTCATATTCTAGTTTCAGCTGTATTATAGATGAGAATATTTTCTTTTTACATTTAATTAAACAAGATTTTCACTTGAGTTTTGTTTCAAATCTTGAATAATATATACTCTTCTTTTGTTTCTGTCAGCTTTCATTTCACTTGTCTAAATAAGATTCTTTTATTTTTCTCTTTATAAAAGATCAGAATATAATTTTTTGAATAGATCTGCTTAATTCTGTATTCTTTTTTACAGCTGAATCAGTCAATTCATTATCATGAATATTCATATAAGCAGAAACTTAGTGTAGATAAATTATCAGCTTTGATATTCTTCTCTTTTGAATTTTTAAAACAGAGTTTAAGATCAGTTCATGATTCATTTGATTATTACAAATCTGACTATTTCTAAGTCTTTTTAAAGCAGCTTAACTATCAGAGAATATTCATGTCTCTTTCAAACTATTTTCTCTTTTATAAGATTTTATTTCAATGAGTTTGAAAGCTTTCACTATTATAAATAGTTCAGTATCAAAGACTTCAGATTCACAGTCTAGATTTTAGAAATCTAAGATAAAATTAATATTATCTTCAGTATAAGCAATGTCTGCATCTAATCTATTTAAATTCTTATTTTTTAAGTCATCTGAATAAATCAGAATAGAGTCTTTTATATTGATTGTAGAAATTCTCTTTAAATACTATTCATATTCTTTCTCTTTTCATAGTTCACTTATTTATAAGTCTATAAGAGATTCAAGCTTTTCTCTTCAAAGAGATAACTTCTCATGATTAACTTTTTTCAATATTTAAAGAAGATACTTGATTTTTAATCAGAGAGCATAGTCTGTACAGTTGAGAAGACATTTTCTTTAAAGAATTATTTTCATTTCAATCAAGAAATCTATTTCAATTCAGTTCATTTTCAGAGTTAATTAATGAAAATGAAGAAGAGACTCTTTCTCTGATTATATAATTTGAGCTCATCTTTATAACTCTGAGAGTATAGTTCATACAGATCTTTTCAAATCTAATAGCAGAAGAAGGAATTGAAGCTTCAATTTTCATTGCTTTAATAGAAGATGATTTGAATGCTCTCAGAATTCTTCTCAAGACTCTGTTTTACAGACTTTGAAAGAGTTCAGTGAAATTCTCTTGATTATTTCACTAAACTTCAACTTTATAATCAGCTATTGATGTAATACAGGCTATATATAACTATCTCATAGCCTGGAAGAATAGACCTCTCTCTGTATTTAATAGTCTGATTATATTATTGAATAGTCTTTCTGTCTTGACAGTTCTTTGTTGAATATGATATTTAAAATTCAACTTGAAGTTTAATCATACTTCTAATTATTTAACATCTACACTGAGTTTAATCTCTCTATTTAAAAGAGTTAGAGATAGTTCTTTCTCATTGAATCTAGAAAAGAAATGAATTAACTCAGTTTTATTTATATTAAATTGAATTTAATTGATATCTGCTCTAACAAAGATTTCCTTTGCAGCTTCTTCAATCACTTTCAAATTCTCTTTAATAGTTTTTAAGCTGTAGACTAGATCAATATCATCTACATAACTTGAAGATTGCACTATTCTCATATTTCTATTTTTGAATAGATATACAGTGTATATTGCAAATAAAATGAGTGAGATTGAAGATTCTTACAGTACTTCTATTTTTATCTCAGTCTTATCTTATTTCATTTCATCAAAGAAAAGTTGTATAACTCTTTTAGATATAAAACAGTTAACTTATTTTATTAGAGAAAGTGACAGTTTTAACATCTTCAATGTCTGAATTAACTTTGACTTTGAAACATGATCAAATGCTTCTTTTATATCAATAAAAACTGCAGTTGAGACCAGATCTTCATACTTTGCTATTTAAATATCATGAACAACTGAGAGAATAGTGTCAATTGCAGAACACTGTTTTCTATCTCTCATTTATTCACTGAATAAAAGAGAATTACTGATAGAGCTTATAAAAGATAGTTGAGTAGCTATTATCTTTTCTAAAACCTTTTCTAGACAGTTCAATAGAGATATTACTCTATATAACTTAGGAATTGAAGTTTTTCTATTAGATTTTGTAAGAATCACTTCAGTGGCTTCTCTCCAGCATTCAGAATAATATTCATTTTTCAAGAGATTGAAAAAGAGCTCAAAATATTCATTCTTTAAGTAGAAGTATGTATTTTGAATAATCAAGTGATTAATTGAATCAGGCTCTGCAGCAGTCTTAACTGAACTTGAGAAGATAGCTGACTCTAATTCATCTTGAGTAAGATCAGGTCATTCCCAGTCATTTTCATCAATATAGTTGAGAAGTGATATATTCTCTTTCTCTGAATCTGAATCTGATGAGTTTTGAAAGAGAGTTCTCATGAAAGCTTGACATTTTGCCTCAAAAGAGTTTGCTGTATATGATTCATTCTGAAACTCATATTCTAAGGTTGAAAGTTTTGCTACACTTCTTGTTTTAGTATAGTTAAAAGCTTTAAAAACTTCTTTTTCTTGTGCTTCTTCAAGAAATTTATTTCAGCAGTCTGTTTTAGCTTTTTTAATATCTGAAAAATATTCATTTCTGACAGCTTTGAACTCTTTATCAGAAATTATATCATTCTTCCAATCTCTTCTAGCATTAAATAGATCAGTATAATATATGTAAGTCTTATATATCAAAGTGAAAAATGTTAAAGAAGAAAAAGAAAGAGAAAGTGTAAGAATCAGTGATTGAAGTGAATATTTATACATATACACAGTGTGTATGCAGTGAAGCTTCAGAGTGAAAGAATAGAAATTCTGTGAGTTTTTCATCTGAGAATCAGCAATCAAGAATGACTGAGAATCAGAGCTTTCAGTGAAATCTATAAAGTGTAAAGAAGTAGTCTATATAATGATTGAGTGTAGTTCATCACATTAGTTCTTCTCTTCTCTAATTATATGTAGTTCTCATCAGTTAAGAGCTGCAGTCTCAGATAACATAGAACTCAGAGTTCAGATTAAATAATTATAGTTAACTCATTTTACAAGATATTATCAGTCATGACTGTGAGATCTCTTATCAAGAATATCTTCAATCTCTCATTCAAGTTCATTATCTTCTTCTATAATCTCTGACAGCTGTCAGTCAGAAATCAGTTGAGAAGAGAACAGATCAGTGATAGCATAGTAAAGTAAGCTTATATAAAAGATATTATAAATTTCTGATGATATGTTAAGACAGTAGTAATAACTACCTAGAACTTCTATCACTTTATACTTAATATAGTGATAATTCAGTGTATAAGATGAATATATAATCTGTATATTCTTGAGATTTAATTATATCAAGTCTTCTATCTTATATTACTCAGTAGAATCTCAGTGAATATTAATTCAGTTCTCTTAATCTTGTTTTGTAATTATTATAAAGATCTCTGCTCAGTTATAAGTATCTCAGAGCTTTACTACTATACTATCAGTAATTTGAATTGAACTGTGAGAGTTCAGTGTGAAATGTATGATTTCTAGAAGATTTAATACTTTCATATAATAACTGTGTATAAGAAAGAATAGACTTATATCTGTTAAAACAGCATCTCAGCTATTAATAGCAATCTCTGTATGTAGAAGAAGATTATATCAATTATCTTATAAGTAATTATAGAACTTATAAAGATAATTTTTTACAGTCTGAATTATCTGTTCTAATATATTATCAGTCTCAAAGTGATAGACAGTTAATAAATAGTATATAATCTTGAGAACTTGACAGATTCTTATTCAGAGAGTGCTTATAAATTGATAGCTTTAATCTGATACTATAGATCTCAGTAATTCATATATCTGATAGAATAAGCTCTATAAAAAAGCTTCAGTAACTTGTTCAGTATTCATCTTATTACAAGATTTCAATATTATATCTTTACTTAATCAGTTCACAATGACTAGAATACTCTTACAATTCTTACTCTTAAAGAGATTAATAGTGAAGTTAATTACTATATCTTATCAGATTCTATCAGAGATATTAAGTAATTTTAATAGATCTTTTCTACAGTTCTTTCAGAAGATAATAAAAGAATAATAGTTATAGTTTCAAATGAAATATCTAATACTGTTTAATATCTCAGATCAGTGAAACTCTTGAGAGATTATTCAGAATAATTATTTATAATCTGAGTAATCAGTTATATATAAATTATGCATCTCTTACATTATTCAAGTATGTAAGAGTTCAGAGTGAGAGACTCAATATTATTCATAAAATTACAGAGTATCATTATTATCAATTAAGTATTTTAAGATATCAGTTCTTATATATAGTTCTGAGAAGAATCAGAGTACTTCTTAATATACTACTTTAGTGAGTTCTTGAAGAAGTTCATCAGTTTGAGCTGTTATATGTCATAATTTATTTAGTATAGATTCAGAAGAAGTTAAGATATCAGTATCAGTATCAGTGTTAATATCAGTATCAGTGTTAATGACAGTTCAGAGAGAGAGTGTTCTAATGAGAGAAGTATATATAGTATCATGAGTTATTTTATCTTGATCAAGTAATATCTTCAGATCTAGAAGTCAGTGTTCTCAGTTCATTTAATAGGTATCTGTGGCGGGCTGCGCCCGATCAATTATATCGACTATTCCGTACACTCCATAGATTCCTACCGCCTCACTCCCGATCGCTGATCCTCAGCTGCCATGAACGTGTATGTTCCGATCACCGATCCTCGGCCGCTACAAACACGCGTATATTGTTCCGCCCTGAAGCTCCACTGTGTACACCATCACATACATGTATAAATATCCACTTCAATCACTGATTCTTGCACTTTCTCTTTCTTTCCATCTCTAATGTTTTTCTCTTTGTTATATAAGACCTATATATTATACCAATCTATTCAGTGTAGGCCTCTTACACTAGAAAAACATTCATCATCTTCTTATTAGAAATGATTATTCACATATTATCTTCTCATTAGAAATGATTATTCATTGAGAGATATCTGAATGCATAACAATGTGTAAGAAATAGAGAAACAGTCAAACAGTTAAGTGAACACTGACTTCTCAGATAGAAGCTTACTCATCAGTCACTCTGACTCTGTAACAAGATCTTATAAAGAGAGTAAAATCTTACAAGAGAATGTCAGTGAAAGACCTGAGAGTTCTGACACTCAGATATATAAGATATTCATATAATTACACTTCTTCAGATCTCATAGATATCACACATTCAACAAACAATATAATCATGTTTAATGATAATATGAGAGAATCTCTGAATACAAGTATAGACACAGTATCATAGTTACTCTGAGCAATGTTAGAACTATAATAACAATAAATAGCTGATATACATGCAACTCAACAACATCAATATGAAGAGATTTAATAATTATTATAACAAGAAACTCATGCAATTTCAACATCTACAGAATTGAATATAAAAGTATTAAAACAATGTTTAGATACTTCTGCATATTTCAATACTTCTGATCTCACTCTCTACTCATCATGGAGAATGAAAATGCTTGTGAAACTGAGTGTAGATGAAGATGCTATCAGTTCACTAATTAATCAAGATTAATATATCAATGAATAATTGAAGAATTGTGTGAAACAGAAGTTTCATTCATGAATGAAAGCATGTGAATCAGTGTTATGAATATCTGACAATATTATCAAATATCTTGATATTCTGTTCTGAGACACTGTCATACAACAGAAAGTATTAGATTGACTACAGAGTATCTGACAGAGAAACACTTCTCTTACAACATTTATTTCTGACTTCAACATCAAGATTCTAGAAGCAGGTGATCAATCTTGAGAGAATTGAATAAAGATTAGCATGCTTAAGAAGACATTGACTTTCAAACTCTTACAGGTTCTTGAGAGTGTAGATGAAGATCAGACTTATGAAGACTTCTGCACACAGCTTCAGACATTGAATGACTGTCTTATCAAGCTCAAGAGTATACAGAATAGTGACAGAAGATGTTACATTTCAGTCACTCACACATCTGCACTGAAGAATAACAATAATGATGCAGACACTATAGACTGAGTAGACATGAATGTCTATATATAAGCAAGAGTCTTCACTGTCTGAACAGGCTTCTGAGTCTCTGAGATTACTTCTGAAGAAGTTGCTGATTAACATCAATTTAAAGTGTGTATTAACTGTAACTGATCAGAACACATTGCTTTCAACTGCTGATCAACCTATGTATCTTCATACTTGAGAGAAAGATCAGTGTCTTCTCATTTAAAGAATGAATCAGTGTCTGTTCACATCAACCATGTTACATTAGAGAAAGATTTGAAAGATAACTATGAGAATGTCTCAGTGAAACAGAGAAAAGATTAGCTTCTGTTTAAATTTATAAACAGAAGCTTGAAGAGGTCAGATGACAATAATTTAAAGAGACAATGACAATGAATACAATTCTTATAACTACTGTGATTAATAATATGTATAATATGAAAGCTATGATAGACAGCAGTCTATGTCACTATACAATGATAAAATCTTCAGTTATAAGATATTATAACCTTCAGTGTATCTCTTTATTAAAATCTCAACTTCTCACAGAATTTGATGATCTGAAAGATGTTTGTATCTGTTATATGATGAAACTAAACATAGATGTAAGAGAACATCAATGTGAAGATGTTTATATATATGAAGTTGATAATCTCAATTATAATCTTATATTAGAACTTGCCTGGCTATCTGAATAAGATATCTTGTTAAATACTTAAAACAGAAGCTTGATATTCTTTAATGATAATAGAATTTATGAAGATAATATTCATAAGACTATGAATCTTACACAGATCTCTGTCAACACTTATGAAATACTCTGAAAAAGAAGTCATTATCAAAATCACTGACAGAGTCACTGACAAGTTCACTGATAGCAGAATTATATGTCAATCTATTTCACTAGTCTGACTGATATTAAAAAGGCTCTAGAAAAGTTATTCTATATTACAATAACAGATTCTTGTATAAAACTTTCTCAATAATATCATGAATATCTAGATGTCTTCTGATAAGATAATATTATAAACATACTTCTCTTATAAGATTCTGAAATGAATCACAGTATCAAGTTAGAGAAAAAGAATGATAAGAACTCTGAATCATCATAAGACTCTCTTTATAACATGTTCTGAGATGAACTTCTTCTTCTTTAAAAGACACTCAATGATCTGTTGAATAAAGAATTCATATATATTAGCAACTCTTTCACTGCAGCTTCTATTCTCTTTACAAAGAAATCAGATGAAGAACTTCAGTTCTGTGTGAATTATCAAGAATTGAACAGATTAACAAAGAAAGACTGTTATTCTTTATCTCTTATCAATGAAACTCTAGCTTGCATTGAACAAGCTCAATGATTTACAAAGTTAGATATCATTACTGTGTTTCATAAGATCTGTATTACTGAAGAAGATGAGTGACTTACAGCATTCTGAACACAATATAGTCTCTTTAAATGAGTAGTCACACTCTTTGAACTGATTAATGCTCTCAGTACATTTCAGAAGTATATTAACTGAGTACTCTAAGACTTTCTTAATGAATTTGCATCTGCTTATCTAGATGATATTCTCATCTTCATTGATAAATTCAGAAAGAAACATCAAGAGCATGTGCAAAGAGTATTATAATAACTACAAGAAGCAGAACTATCAATTGATATTGATAAGTGTGATTTTGAAGTTAAGAGTACTAAATACTTAGATTTCATCATAGAAGCTGATAAGAGAATCTGAATGAATTCTGAGAAGATCTCTGCTATTCTTGAATGAGAGATCTCATGCACTGTGAAAGATGTACAAAGCTTCATCAGATTTACTAACTTCTATTAGTGATTTATACAAAACTTCTCAGATATTATGAGATCACTTACAGAACTTACTATGAAAGACTTAGTATTTCAATAATCAGCAGACACTGAAGCTGTATTTATACAGATAAAGAAGATATTCATTAATACTTCTCTACTGATAACATTTAATTCTGATTATAAGACAGTTATTGAAGCTGATTTCTCTGACTATATAATAGAAGAAGCAATATTGTAATATGATGATGAAGATGTTCTATAATCATGTGTCTTCATGTTTAAGAAACTGAGTCCTGCTGAATGTAATTATGAGATCTATGATAAGAAACTTCTCATAATTATACACTGTTTAGAAGAATGAGACTCTGAACTCTGAAGTATCTCTGAATTTAAGATAGTCATAGATTATAAGAATCTCAAATACTTCACAACTATCTGTAAACTCACTGAATAATAGATGTAATGATCTGAGTTCTTAAGCTGCTTTCATTTTATAATACACTACTGTTCTGACAGTCAGAACTCAATAACAAATGCTCTCTTATAATGAGAGTAAGACATAGTATCTAATATAACAGATACTTACTGAATGAACTGAGAGCACTGACTCTTGAATCTGAAGATACTAGTTGATCAAGATAAAATAGCTCACAGCACTATACATGCTTCTCTGATTAGAACTGTCACTGATATCTCAACTTCTCTTAAATCTACATTAGATGAGCTATGATATACAGTAGCTTAAATTAATGAACTTCTTCAAGCATTCACTGAAGCAGTATAATAAGAAGCATCTCAATTTCTTTCAGAATTACATGTAAGAATCAACATCTCAGAATATTCAATCAATGATAATAATACTCTATAATTCTGTGAATGACACTGAGTCTCTCACTCTGAACTCTTACACATCTGAATAATACAAGAGATACATGATTTGTATATAACTAATTATTCAGACTGTGAATAACTGTATAAAATAATCTTCTGAGAGTTCTATTAATCTGAGATATTAAACAGTATTAGATGCTTTATCTGAAACTGCAACTACTGTTCTTTCATTATCTTATAAAAGAACTGTAGAAAAGATCTACTGAACTCACTTAATATTTCTAATAGAATCTGATGAGATGTAGTGATTGACTTTGCTATTAATCTATCTGAGAGTAAGAGTTGTAGAAACATTCTGATCATTATTAACTGACTAAGTAAAGATGTAATATTGAAATCTTGTGATAAGATGAATACTGAATAAGTCACTGAAGCCTTCTTATGAAGTTCATTCTATTGAATACATGAGTTACTGAGATCAATAGTATTGAATCAGAGATGCTAATTTATAAGCACTCTCTGAACAAGAATCTATCAAGTTCTCAAGATTATATACTATCTGTCAACTGTCTATCATTCTGAGACTGATAATGCATCAGAATGAACAATTCAGACTGTGAAGAATTATCTTCATAAGTTCTGTAATCACTTATAAGATGATTGATATGATCTTCTTCTACATGCAGAGATTGCTATCAATGATCAAGATGCTGTCTCAACAGATATAAGCCTGTTCTTTCTTATAGACAGTTATTATATGAAAGTATTGAATCTTCTAGAGATCACACAGTTCACACTGAACTCTCACAGTCTAATTCAGATCACTGATAATATAGTAACAAAGCTCTGAGACATCTGTGACTGAGCAGAAGCCTTCATGACAGCTGTAAAACAAGACTAAGAGAATCAAATTAATGTTCACTGAGATCTCACTGAGCAGTATAAGATAGAAGACTTAGTGTGATTAAATCTTAAGAATATACAGATCACACATTCATCTTGTATACTAAACTACTGCTATACTAAGTATAAAGTGATAGAAGTTCTAGATAGTCATAACTACTGTCTTAACATATTATCAGAGATTCATGATGTCTTTTATACAAGCTTGCTTTGCTGCACTGTCACTGATTCATTCTCTTCTCAACTAACTTTCAACTGACAGCTGCCAGGAATCATAGAAGAAGATAATGAGCTTGAGTGAGAGATTGAAGATATTCTCAATGAGAGATTATGCAGCTGTGATTGACAATATCTTGTGAAATGAGTCAGCTATGATCAACTGACCTGAACTCTGAGTTCTGTGTTATCTGAAATGATGATTCTTGACTGATGAGAACTGCTTCTGAAAGAGAGAAGCTAATGTGACAGGCTGCGCCTGATCAATTATATAGACTATTCTGTACACTTCATAGATTCCTACCACCTCATTTCTGATCACTGATTCTCAGCTGCCATGAACATGTATGTTTCAATCACCAATCCTCGGCCGCTATGAATGCATGTATATTCTTCCACCCTGAAGCTCCACCGCGTACACCACCACATACATGTATAAATATTCACTTTGATTGCTGATTCTTGCACTTTCTCTTTCTTTCCTTCTCTAACATTTTTCTCTTTGTTATATAAGACCTATATATTATACCGATCTATTCGGTGTAGGCCTCTTACAGTATCTGTTAGATCAGAAGTCATATCTTACTCTCATTATAAAAGAGCATCTGTTATCAAGTTCTGACTACTGAGATAGTAGTGTATTGTAAAATAACAGCAGCTTAAAAACTTAGATCATTATATCTGTTATTCAGTAAGTTTATAGATAGTTATGAAGTACTTGAAATTCTTATAATCTGTGATTATCTTAAATTCAGAGATACTTCAAAGTTCAGAGTCTCATTCTTCTAGACAGTATATAATCATGAGAAGTGTCTTATCATAGATCTTATAGTTACATTCAGCAGGGCTTAAGTTCTTAGATATGAAGATATATAATTATAAAACATCTTTATCATTATATTGTAATATAGCTCTCTCTGTAATATAGTCAGAGAAGTCAGCTTTAACAACTGTTTCACAGTCAGAGTCAAATATTATTAGTAGAGATATATTAATAAATATCTTCTTCATCTGTATAAATGCAGCATCAGTGTTTACTGATCATTGAAATACTGAGTTCTTCTTAATAAGTTCTGTAAGTGATCTCATAATATCTGAGAAGTTTCTTATAAATCACTGATAGAAGTTAGTAAATCTGATGAAGCTTCATACATTCTTCACAGTATATAAAGCTTCTCATTCAAGAATAGTGAAGACTTTCTCAGAATTTATTTAAATCTTCTTATCAGCTTCTATGATAAAATCTAGATATTTTGCA